GAGCAAACCCTGGCCCTCTCTGGCTCCAGGCTAAGCTCTTGGGACTTAAAAGGCCTTGGTCTGGCTGTATGTGGGGGAGAGGGTGACCATGGTGACCTCTGATTCTGGGGCTCTGGGTGGATACCCAGTCACTCATCTGTAAGGCTAGCCCTACCCCCCAAGTAATAACCCCTCATACCATGCCACCCTCACTTCTGCACTGTTGCTGGTGGTGACACTGCCTTCAAAGCTGGGCTCCTGGCCAGCAGCTGCTACTCTCCAGCTGCCAGTGCTGTGAAATCTGATCTCCACTAGAATAGCCAGATTTCCCTTGGGGAGGATCAGATTTCACAGTCCATGATGCGTTTTTCACAGCACTGAGTTTGGTGGGGCCCTATTAACGAGCTATTCGAGGAAAGCTGCAACTTTGCAAGACTGACATTTCACACACAGTCAAACCCATTTTTGTCAGGGTCTGGTGCTGTCAGCACAGGTGAAATGCCTCTAGCTGCACCAAGTCCATCTGGAACAGAGTCCAGATTTCTAGCCCATATGGCAATATGTGTAGCACACTAGCTTGCTAGACCCCAAACTTTGTATCGACTCAAAGATGTTTTTGTATCCGTAAGCAGGATGGGGATTTTATGCAGGAAGCAGCAGACCTGTTTGTCCAATAACAGCCAGTTTGATTCAACTGTTTGAACTCTACTTGCAGACTTGGTAGACTAACTGATCAGTGCTCCCCGTAGAACTTGGCCACAGCTGCACTGAATGTACTGGACACCCAGCTATAAGGATGTGACAGAGATATTCAAAATAAGGAGTGGTCTACAGGATATTAGCGGGGTGATGTCTTTTTTTTTCCTTCCACAAAATGACATTAAAAAGCAGTTAATTTATTAAAGGATTAAAAGAACTATTGTCTTCTGTTTCCTGACACTCAATATTCCCTCGAAGGATCTTTTCCATCCATGTGTAGAATAAAATGTATGTGCATCAAAGCAGATGCAAATGTGCACCACTAGGAAAAACACAAACCTAGTTGTGGGTACTCTGCTAATCAGCTGAGTGGCAATGGAATCTCTCCTGAGTGGCCACACAACACACCGCTTACAGGGAACACTGCTGCCAACCCAATGGTTACTAAGGCAGCAAAGCCAAAGAGGAGTCTCTGGCAGTGCTATTCCAGTGGAAACTCCTTGCCAAGATAGAAAGGTAGATCTTCAGGTCCACGCACTGTGCGGGATTGCTCCTGAACTCTGTGTGGACATAAGGCCTCTTTTGACCTGTGGAAGACGCTGTCTGCAGCGCAGATGAAAGTCTCAACATTCAGCAAGCTGCAGCTTCTGTTAGAGGCTGTTTTCTGTGTAGCATTCCATCTCCTACCCTGCTGTTACTTTGCGACTTTAGGTGTTGGAGAAATTGCCCTTAACAGCTAATGTGTCTCTGATACACAACAACACACACACACAATCTACACAATGCTTATTTCTTTAGGGAGTGGAATTCCTGCCTTACACAGTCAGGAAGCTACAACTCAGCTTTTTCATACCCTCTGTTCTAATCCATGGGCTGAAACAGTGGCTTTAGGAACTGTGTACCTCCATGTAGAGACCTTGGGCCACTGGTCTAGCCTGATCCCGAAGGCCTCATCACAGAGAAGAACTATCGCCCAGTTTTGATGATGCTAACCTGTGCCTTGTGTGAGCCAGGCTTTAGTTCCCAGCTCCCCCACGGACATTCCAAATAAGCCTGGAGAAATCACACAGGGTACATCTACACTGCAGTGCTATTTCGGGATACTGCCCACTGCGGAAATAGCTATTTCACGTCTTGACAGGGCACACTATTCCAATGTCCCTGTAAACCTCGTTCCATGAGGATTAAGGGACATTTTGGAATAGATCAGTGATTCCCAACCTTTTCCAGATGGGGACCCATTTTGACAATACAGGAAGACCAATTTGGATTGGTCCTGCCTAGAGCAGGGGGCTGGAGTTGATGACCTTCTGAGGTCTTTTCCAGCTCTATGGTTCTATGATTCTATGATAAAACTTGGTGAACCAGGGTAATTCAAAAAAATGTGCGAATGGCTCCTTAAGAGCCACCTGAGGAGACACCTGACGACCCTTTTGAAATGTAATGGTGTCCCATATTTGGGTCCCAACCCATAGTTTGGGAAACCCTGAAATAGATGTTTATTTTGAAATTTGGTGCTGTGTAGATAGCACCAAATTAAGAAATAAGCTATTTCTAAATACACTTGAAATAAGCTATGCAATTTGCATAGCACAAATTGCTTAGCTTATTTCGAGCTAAAGGTGCTTTGTAGATGCACCCTTAGATACAGATTTACAAAGTCATTTAGGCACCTAAAGAAACAGATGGATCTTGGTGAGATTCTCACTAGTACCTAATCAGCTGAGGCATCTAGCTCACATACATTGATTCCCCTCTCTGCAAAACAAAGTTTATCATCCTTCCCTACTTCACAAGTATGTTGAAAAGGTAAATAAATTAGGGTATGTCTACACTACCACCCTAGTTCGAACTAGGGTGGTTAATGTAGTCAACCAAAGTTGCAAATGAAGCCCGGGATTTAAATATCCCGGGCTTCATTTGCATCTCGCCGGGCGCCGCCATTTTTAAATCCCCGGTAGTTCGGACTCCCTGCCCGCGGCTACACGCGGCACGGAGTAGGTGGTTCGAATTAGGATTTCTAATTCAAGGAGTAACAGTAGTTCGAATTAGAAAGCCTAATTCGAACTACCTACTCCGTGCCGCGTGTAGTCGTGGGCACGGAGTCCGAACTACCGGGGATTTAAAAATGGCGGCGCCCGGCAAGATGCAAATGAAGCCCAGGATATTTAAATCCCGGGCTTCATTTGCAACTTCGGTTGACTACATTAACCACCCTAGTTCGAACTAGGGTGGTAGTGTAGACATACCCTCAAAGAGTGAGGTGCTTCAGTATTATGGTGATGGAAAATAACTACCTTAAGTACCATTATATCTGTAGGTGGTACAGCATCTCACATCCTCTACAGGGATGTGTATGACCCCTATATGACTGATCCTCCAGCCCAGCGTTCATGCCTTCCCCTCCTCTGTCCAGAGGTGCAACCTATAACTTAGGTGGCACTGGAACCTTTTAAAGATACTTCAGAGCTGAGTGAATTCCTTCCATCCAGTCTATTCTTGAAACTCCTGATCTCACACATACTTGTCTCCTGACTAAGCCAGCATAAAAGCAGAGGGTGGAAAAAAGAAACACAGGCACTGTCAGGACCAGCTGTAGCCCATTTAAAATTAATCATTTCATGGGAAAATGCAACTGCCATACAAAACAAATCCACTTGCTACTAAACCCTGAGCATTTGATGGAGAAAATGCACTTCTCTTTAGGGCTCTTTAAACAATGATTTAGAAGCCTTTTATAATTAATACTTTATTAAAAGATCCTAGATAACAGGAAAGCCATTGTCAGAGCACACATTGTATGCTAGCTAGAAGCCTGCTCTATATGTACATTATTTCCCATACAAATAATAAAATAGAAGAAAAGTCTTTCGTGCACACTAAGTCTTTGAACCACAGAAAGAGAGGAGGCTCTCATCCTGTGTGGTTCCGTTTACCCTCTATGCTGCAAGCCTGTAGTTTGGTCTCTTTTATATGCTAGGCCCTTGTCTTGCAAAACAGTTGTGTGCACAAAATTAAGCACACAGGTAAGTGATTGAAGTATTCTGCCCTTATTCAGAAACAAAATGTTTCTTGAAACAGTGGGCCATAATTACGAGACACATTTTGAATGGGATGCATTGAGTCTCAGCCTGATTAATCACTTAAAGGACCCTTTAGAGAAAATGCATTTAAAATGACATTTTAACCCGATCCCAATCTGAAACTTGTTTTAAGAATTGTTTCCAGGTCCAGATTAGAATCATGGGAACTGTAGAAAATAGTTAAAGGAAGGAAAGGGACACAAATATTCTATGGCCAGCAGAGTTAAGGTCAATAAGGACAAGGTGCATTGTTTTTAACTGTGCTGAAGACCAAAATAATCCTGGCAAAGGTATGGCTCCATTACTACAAATGGTAGAATTATCAATACAGTACAAACTCAGCGTTATGTGTTATGAACTGACTGGTTATGCATACACCTTATTTGGAACCAGAAGAATGCAATTGGGCAGAAGCAGAGAACAAAAATAAAAAGGCTAATCCAATACAGTAGTTTGTTTAATGTAAACAACTAAAAATGAAGGGAAAGTTTAAAACAAATGTGACAAGTTTAAGGTATCTGTGTTTGTCTAGTTTAAATTAAAATAACAAAAAAGCAGCATTTTTCCCCTGCATAGTAAAGTTTCAGAGCTCAACTACCAAAAGTTTTGTTCAGAGTTACGAACAACCTCCATTCCCAAAGTGTTCATAACTGAGGTTCTATTATAATAATGCAGAAAAGGCAGATGTGCAAAATAAATATTTCTGTTCTGTGTATGTACTGCTTTCATATGATAACCTTTTTTTCCTATTCCCCTGGCATCTCAGAAGGATGTTAAACAGCAGCTATTAAAGTTAGACATTTTTATATCAGCGGGTCTGTTTCTTAGTTTTAAGACCTGGCTGAAGAGCTTGATAGACCTTTAAACGTTAACTTTCAATAAGTTTTGGAACACTGGGGAAGTTCCAAGAGACTGGGAGAAACTAATGTTGTGACTGTGTTTAAAAAAGGCAAAAGGTATGATCCAGCTATTTGTAGGCTAGAAATGATAATGGATCAACTGATACAGGACTTGATTAAACAATTAAAGGAAGGTGATATAATTAATGCTGATCAACATAGGTCTATGGAAAATAGATCCTATCAAACTAACCTGATATCTTTTTAATGAGATTATACTTTTGATTTATGAAGGTAATAGTGTTGATGTAATATACTTAGAGTCCTGTAAATTGTATTACTTCGTACTACATGGTCACTTAGAGTGCATCTACACAGCAAAGTTATTTCGGAATAATGGTCGTTATTCTGAAATAACAATGCAAGCATCTACACAGCAATTCTGACTTCTGTAAATCTCATTCTATGAAGAATAATGCCTATTCTGAAATAGCTATTTTGAAATAAGGCATGTGTAGACGCTCCGCCTCTGCTATTTCGAAAGAGCCCCTCAAAAGGGCCATTCTAAATTATTCCTCCCGGGGCTCTAAATTGAGATAGCACATCTATATTAGGAAAACCTTCCTCGGACTAATTTTGAGGCTTCTCTGCAATGCAGATGTGCTATTTTAAAATAAGCTATTTTGGAATAACTATTCTGGAAGGGTACATCTACACTTGCTCCCTATCTCAAGATAGGGATGCAAATGTAGCGTACCAAAATTGCTAATGAAGCACGGGATTTACAATGAGGAATAACAGTTATTTCGAGAGAAGGGTTTTCTCTCAAAATAACGCTGCTACACGGGGCATTTTATTTCTCAATAACGCAATTTCAAAATGGCACCCGGCTGCAATTATGCTAATTAAGCACAGGATATTTAAATCCCACACTTCATTAGCAATTTCCGTACAATACACTTGCATCCCTATCTCGAGATAGGGAGCAAGTATAGACATACCTGAATAGTTTATTCTGAAATAACTATGCAGTATAGACGTAGCCTTAGAGTAAAAAATTAGAAGAATATAAAAGTAATACAGGACATATTAAATAGATTAAAAATGTTTAGCTGATATTTTTTAAAGTTAAATTGTAAACAGGGAGTCCACTTCAAACAGATGTGTTTCTAATGAGGTCCCACTGGGTGAGTTCTTGGTCCTTTGTTAATGAACATTTTTATCAGTGACCTGGAAGAAAACAAAATAGTTACTAAAAGTTGGGAGATGGTACAAATTTTGGAGGTGGAGAAAATAATTAAGA